AGGATAAGCACTATTGAAAATAGATAAGAACGGTTTTAGACTAAGGAAAAATAGAAATCTGGGAATGTCATGCTATGCATGTCAAACCATAAACATATAAGCAAGAGTGACTAAAGTGAACTAGTGCTTTAGGTCGATCTATGATTATGTACTGATAACAGAACTCGAATGTTCTTCAAAGCGATCAACGAAGAGGAATGATAAGATAATTCAGATAAGGACTTTTGATCAATCATGGAAGTGGTCATATTTACATTTACATAAAGACTTACTTTTCATGGGACTGCCCAAATTTAGAAAACTAAATCCTCCTCTTTTCTTGATGAGAATCTCTATATAGGATAGGTTCCAAGAAATAGACCAATGTCGCTCAAGCTTGCTGCATTCAATTTTGATGTCATATTGCTATGGATCAATATACATTTTTTATTTTCAACAATATTCGTCCTGGGACCAAAAATATCTCCATAATAACTAACATAAGCAGGGTATCTATCTTAAGTTCTCTTGGCTATTACGTGCATACGAGGATACTTGATGTACCATCTACTACTAATGTTGTAACGTAAGGTTGAATAATGAGATCAACTTTAGCACATGTCTTTATTCTTGGATCAGTTCCAAAATGACTGTCAACACACTCAGATTATATGTTAGGGATTTGGAGAAATTTTCTTCAAACATTTATAAAAGCCATCTAACCTAAACGACAAGTTTTTCAAATTCATAAAATGATACGATAAGTAAGACACAGTCCACAAGACTATGAATAGCTGTCATTGTTTATGCAAAGAAAATAAATGAGTAAAGAAATAGGAGCTTCGTAAGAAGTATCGTCTGCAATTTGGGCCAACATTCCCGCACACTTCATTGATTTTGTCTAATCAAGCGAAACAGTTCATGTTATATAATGAACTAATAAATAACCGATCAACCAATCAAAGTTGAATTTTTGAAAAAATAGAAAAATGTTGACAGCGTGTAACAAGTTGGCGGCTAAAAAGTAGCAAGTGATATATCTAAATGCTAAACGGAAATACAGTTATGTATAAAGTCACAACAGGGTGTTTTTCTTGCAATGTCTTAATACGCGTATAGTCGAAAAGATGGTAGTAAACTTTATAGCTAGCCATCGCTAGGCGCAAATAATGAAGCGATAGCATCAACAGGCATTGAAAGCATCATTTTTTCTTTTATACCTTTGCATTCTGGTTTGTGCAGATAGGCGCAATCACCAAAAGGATCTGCGATAGACATACCTCTTATTATACCAATCGATTCAGAATCAATTTGTAAGGTTGTTTGTGCGCCCGATGTCCGTCTATGTATTCTTGGGTTCAGCGTAAAGTATGCAAATTTTTGGGGATATTTTAATGATAATTCCGTACATGGACATGTTTTGGCCCAAGGACAAACCCTATTGAAAATGGTTCAAATCGGATCATTTATTCAACCGTTCCACATACAAGTCATTATATGAAAAAATTCTCTTAATTTCTTACAATTTCGCGACAAGAAACCCCTAGTAATATAGTTTTTCGCCACATGGGAGGGACAATTTTTGAATCTCTTACCATTTCTAACCATTTCTACAACAACTGAATCTTTATATGGTCATTTTTATTAATTCATAGTGAACATCGGTCCACCACAGCAGTTTGACATTGAAAGTAATTTTAGCGAATTTGAATCGCGTAACTTTGTCTTTTGAATCCCATCCGATAATAAGTTTTGTATCAAAACTAAGCCTTTATAAGGCAAAAATCTCCCTTTTTTTTATATTTTATGATGAAAATTTATTCGTGAAAGTAATTTGATATAAAACTTCACGGATATGCCTGTAAATTTTAATTTAATTGTCGGCATGTCATTATGAATTTGATAGGTATTGTTTGAAGGTTGGACGTAAGGACGAATCATATGAGTGTGTTAACGGTGCCGTCTTATATATGTATTATTGGAGTGGCCCTTGTTAAGTATATATATGGATTACATAACTACTGTTATATATTAGGTATATATATATATATATATATATATATATGCTTGGATTCAATGAAGAAGTCAAGACGATTAAAGACAAAAGAAGTTCTGCAGAATATCAGATATCCGTTAATGGGTAGCTCTAAAAAAAGGCTTGATTTTTTCTTTCAATTGTTTTTGCATGAAAGGAAAGATAATAGAGTAATAGCATTAAAGAAAGTTTCCTAAAATATATCTTTAGTATTAGAAATATTAAAAACGGATAACAGTGGAATCATTCTTCAGGAGCATCTTTAAATTACGACATATTGTATATGTTTGTGTGGAGTGCTAATCTGAAATTAGAAACAAAAATCATTTAATCTGCATATCTATAGATAGAAAATAAGTAAGAACATTATAGTGGAGCAAGGCCGACCTTTGAAAACCCTACGCCACATCCTCTAACACAATTCTTATTTTTATTACAAAACACAAAAGTTATATCTTGTTTCTATATAAAGACACATTTTTTGTTTGCGTTATATGAGAGGGAGGGTTCAACAATTGCCCTAACCGGTCCAAAGTTTTGATATCAATTTAGAATGCCGAAGTACTGCTGCTTAGTCACTTTTGTCGAGAAATTTTACAAATTGCTTTTTTGTTTCTTCTTATTCTTTAGAATAGGGCGTTATATGGGGAATGGTCGAGAAAGTCGATAAGCAATAGCTTTCGTTCTTGGGTCAAAACACAGTGACGTACCAAATTTTCGTTAAAATATCTAAAAGAAATTGCGACGTGTAGTTTGAACGCAAATTTACATGGACAGATATCAGACGGACAGACAAGCTTAAATTAAATCCCATTATGATTCTGAATCGATCGGTATAATAAAAGGTTGATCTATCTTAAGCCCTTCCGCGTGTTACATACGATCGAACTCACTTAGTATACCTTGTACCATAACTGGTGTAGGGTATGAAAGTTTAAAAATCAAAAAAATTGTGAACTCATTTCGTAAACCGCTATTCTTTGGAACGTAATCGTATCTAAGCAGAAGGAAAGCGAGAGACTCTGCTCTCGCTTGATTGAACAAAAATTCTTTTTACTCTTTTTTTTTAGAATTCCAATATTACTTTCTCTTTCCTCTTGCTCTCTCTCTCTCTCTCTCTCTCTCTTTTTTTTCTCTCTCTCTCCTCCTCCCTCTCCGCTCGTCGTAAGAGACAGAATGAAAATAATATTGATGGTGATTAGAAGTTAAAGGCTAGATCGCCGTTATATACCCAAGCAATTTAAAGGAAATTAAATAAATAAATAATAGCGAGTAAGTAAGTATGTGTTCATCATGTGTGACTTTTTGTAAATTATTTCAGTTTAATTATTTACCAAGACTCTCTTTTTTCGCCTTCTCTTTAAATAATTTTTTTGTTTTTTTTTTTTTATTATTATGTTTTGTTAGTCATACAAGCTGAGCATTAAACGGTTTTGGTTGAATAACTGATTTACGGAATTCTGTTGTTTATTTACAATATTTATTTACTTGGTATCATTTTTGTTTGTTGTTATTTGTGTAAAATATTTGTACTTCAACTGAATGACATAAAACTTTCGTTGCACTTTTTGTAAGGTAAAGCAATCGCTACGTAAGGCGGACAGGCAGGCAATCATTTAGTTTGATTGTTAGATAAACTAGTAGCTGCGTTTTTTTTTGTTGCTGTTGTTGTTGTTGTTTTTCTTTTTTTTGTATTACCGAAAGTGTTAGTTAAACATATGTGCATTAGTAGTGTAACGGGTACGTATATACGTACATATGTACGTATGTACATTTATAAGCATAGTGCAAACATATTTAGTTAAGTTTATATACTTAGTGAGCGTGTGATTATATATATATATATGGGTATACGTGTATTTATATAGAGTGTGTATGTATGTGTGTGTATGTGTGTGTGTGTGTATATATATATATGTATATAGAATGATCGCTTCATTGTTGCTGCTGTATTATTATATCGTCCATCGTTAAAAACGCGATTATTCAATGCTAACATATGCACATATATGTACGCATTGGTTTGACTCTGCGGTCCGTCATTCGCTGATAAATTATCAAAAGCGTCACTACAACAGAAAATTGCGGAGTTTTTTTTTTTTTTTTCTTTTTTAAGCAAAGAAAATTATCTACGACAAAAGTTTTTCTTTGCCTTGCTGCTATTCCTTTTCGCTATTGTTGTTCTTGCTGTTTTCTTTTTGTATTGTTTTTTGTTTGTTTTTTTTGATTTCTTTATTTATTTTTTTTTTAAATATCATTTTGCTACGAGTTTATGGTCAAGTTTACGTGTTTAGTGGAGTACGCTTTGCGATAATAAATTAAATAAATAAAAATAAAAAAAAATAAAAATAATAATAATTAAAACTTTGTTAAGCGTGTTTTTTTGTGCACATGTGAACAAATCATGGATATATTAAGCTGGCGTTTTCTAGTATTGTGTGCATTTTATTTCTTATTAATCAGAATCGTGTTCAGACTTTATAATTACTTTTATGGCGATTTTCAAGATACATTAAATGATTGAATGAATAAATGATTGAACAAATGATTTCAATAACCTTTTAAAAGAATTGCTTTATAATCATTTAACCGTAAATGCTCTCTCCCTGCCATTTAAAATACTGTTGCGTTCCTTTTAAGCACGAAAGCAAAATAATGCTTTAAAAAAATGATAATAACAACAATAAGAAAAAAAAAAGAAAAAAGAAGTAAATAAATAAATAAAAACATACCATATAATAACGCTAACGCACAAACAATACATCGCTAAAAGCATCAACTTTTTTCAAAGTTAAAGCGAAGAGACAAGATCGTCGAGATATGTTTAAGGTGTTGCTTGTACATTACATGTGTGAGAAACAGAAAAACAAAAATAAATAAATCCAAATAAACTTGATAAAGAATATTAATAACAATAATAATAATAATAATAATAATAATAATAATAGTAATAGTAATAAAGAAAAAGAAAATAAATATAAAAAAAAAAAAAAAAAAACAAATATAGATAAATAAATATTACAGGTATGAGCTAAATATTGTTGTTCTTCTCTCATTTACAAATACAATTATTTCTTAAAGTGAATCGATAAAAATTGTTGCTGCAATAAGTATGATTAGTCATCGGTTTTGTCAAATTGTCAGAAAGTTGTTTTCTTACTCATACCAATTTGCCTTAATCGCGATGATGATTCAAACATTAAACGTCATTACCGTGATCGACATCACGACAACCAGTTAGTTAATCGTAAAATTTTACCTGTGAAATACCGATTACATTAAGGATATCGTATAATAATAAAAACCGCCTAAAAGAAAATCAATTACATACATCACAGACGCATCGTGGCAATCCACCTTACAATGTTCTTATAGCCACGCAGTTAAGAAAACTAAGTAAATAAATAAATCATAAAATAAAAAAAAAAAGTAAAATAAAATAAAAGTGCGCCCATCGCAGCCTCTCTACTACGATTCATTCATTCCTTCATTCATACAACTAAGTAAGTAAGTAAGTAAGTAAATAAGTAAGTAAGTAAGTGAGTGAGTGAGTGAGTAAGTAAATAAACAATAAACAACACAAAATAAATTAAATCAGTAAATAAGTAAAGCAAATTATGCATGCATGCGTACAACACTTATTTCACACACTGATTAGAGTTCAATCTCAGCTTTTAACACTCTCTTCGTGTAAATCAAAAAAAAAAAAAAAAAAAAAAAAAAAAAAAAAAAAAAA